AATTAAATTATTCTTATTTTTTAACATTTCTATACCCTCCCTTGTATTATGTTCTTTGTAATTGTGTATGTTTTCAATTAGTCTTATGGTTTTAATGGAGCTCAAAAAACTTTTTGAGTTTCTTAAGTGTTCTTTACGCCTAACCTCTATATTTATTTAAGTCTTTCCTACGTAATGTTTAATACAACTTTTACATTGTATTTTACAAATACCCGATTATCCCCCTTTTTTAATTTATCCTTAGGGTTACCTAAAAAATCTCTTAAATTATTACTTTTAGATGTAACTAAAGTAATACATCGAAATTCTCAAAAATTCTAGTTAGTTTATTTAAGATACCTAGTTAATATAAAATAGGTGATCTAAATACTTTTTGTTCCCCAACGTTAGTGACTGACTAGTTACCCTCCTTCCTATATTCCAATTGTGTTTGGACTAATTTTGAAATTTCGTTTTCGCTATTTCTCTTACAACCCACATTTTTTATCAAATCAATTTAATTCATAAATATATTAACTAATATATTATAATATAACTTGCACATAAGTATAAATTTAACGACTTCCCTGCGATGTAAAACTTTAACGTATTTGAATGCACTTTATAAAGATTTTTAGTCCTAAAGTCTAGATTTCATATAATAAACTTTAAATTTCAATATGTAACAGCTCTCAAAAATGATCCGCTTAACTCGATCAAACAAAGATCCTAATAAAAATGCGAAGTTGACCCATCCATATCCATTTTTTATTATTATAAAAAAACTCTTGGTTGCAGTTAATTAATATCAGTTGCTTGTTAATAATATTTTAATTTTATTAAAATTATAATAAAAACCTAATTGTTGTCTGGAGGAAACAATTAAACAAATTTCACAAATCTTAAACATAAAAATGTATAATAAGAACTTTCAATTACAAAAATGAATACAATATAACACTTGAGAATACATAAGTGTAAAGGAGAAAATAAAATAAAATATTCTTTTCATTTTCTCTCTCATAATTAGTTTTTTCTCAGCTAATAGCCCAGGGAAATCTCCATTTGAACGTTTATTCCTAAAAGCTCTTTAAATCATTTTTTTATTTTTAACTATTAGATTAGTTTATGTTGGCCAATTTTTAAAGATTGTATTGGTATATACTGAGGAATCACTAAGGGCAATAGTTTCTTGCTTGTTTGTACTAAGGCACATAATGTTTACCGCCGTTAAAAATGACGCGTGGTAACCCAAATGACAACTAACAGCGACAGGTAAACCTTAACTTCAGAGCTTGAAAGCATTTGAAGTGTCCACCGCACCATCATTAATCATTAATCATTAATTAATCATTAATTTTTCTAATATAGTTATTAAGGATAATAGTACATAAATACAATATGAGCCAGTTAAATTGATTGCACCAAAAGCTCAACTAAATGAGTTCACTCCAAATCTCAAGGGTACAGATAAGTCATCATTAGTTATGTATGTATTCAATCAACTCATTATAATTTATTGTTGCTCTATACTACAACATTGAATAATTTTTCCTAGTTGACTTGCGAACATTGACGTTTTAAACGAAAAGTGTACTGGATTCACATTAACACTTTACGTTTTATAAAAACTTAATAAATTATATTTCTAGAAAACTTTTTAAATTACTACAAAAAACTTTTCATCGTTTCAAACTCTTCTGTTCTAAAGGTTAATTATTATACTTCACAAGTACGTATATAATTTATTAGTATAAATTCACTTACTAATAATACTACATTAGAGTTTTTTGAATGAAATTTTGTTAATTTTTTTAATTTGTTTGCAATGACATTGTAATACTAGTTTTTTTTATAAGTTCATTAAAAATAATATTATTGGTAAATGTCTAATTGGCTAAACACTTTTCCAATTAATAGAAAACGTATATAGTAGAAAAATAACTTTGAGAAATGTTTTACATTTTTATTTTATAATGATTCCAACAATATAATTTCATTAGAAGGCATACAAAATGATTATCGATTCTAAGTTATGTTTTCTCATATGATATAACATGGATGAGAAATAATATACCAAATTTATGTTAGTTATAATAATCGAACGTTCGTGTATTGTCATTTAACGTACGCAGTGTATTAAACGCTAAAAATCGATTCAACTATTTGTGATATAGTTTATCGCGCAAGGTTTAGCCTCTTGCTTCCTACGCTCTTGTTAATTGAATGGAAACTTAGCCGTTTGAACATTGTTTATGTTATTTCATGACTCGCACACATTTTACTTTAATCCTAGCTATATTTTTAAGCTCAGGATATGACATTCAAGTCACACGATTGCTCATAAAATTGTTTACCTATACGATGTTTGTAACTTTAAAAATATTCATTGCTTATTCTAGAATCAAAACAATATGATATTTATTTATATACGTTCATAACATTAAAAATCTATAATTTTCCGTCTATTAGATAATTAAGAGTAAAACTCTTGACATTTTACGAATCGACTTCAAGTTTAACACGAAACTGTAGCTATATAATTTCTTAAAGCTTCTGATATTGATAAATTTAGTTAGTTAGATCGCATAAATATTGATACTAAATATCAATATTTATATTAGATCTGATACGTAGTACACACAAGCAACAAGTTGCCAGAATTTTTTTTATTATTCATTAAACTTTTAACAAGTATTTTAACTTTGTATAAAATAATGATAAATATTTTATATCAATTATACATATATAATAAATATAAGTTATAATGAAAAATACTGCAGAAAGACATTAACACTATTACTCTCTAACAAGGCTGCGTAATTTAATGTTTTTTTTAACTCATTAGAATAAAATTACTTTAAAGAAATTGACGTGTTAATTGTTAAAGTTAATTGATTATTTTTTTAAATAAATAAAGTTGGTAAAATCTTATTGATTAACGAGTTAAGTTTACTTAATACAACTGCTAGTATTTGCAAAAATATTCATGAGTTGATAACATTTTTTGTGTGACTAAATATTTTCCTTCCAAATTTTTTTTATACAATAGAACACGATTTTTCAAAGATAAAAAATGTATAGGATAATTGTATGTTATTCTATCTTCTGATAAATTATGTTAACTAGTGAAAATAATTTTATGTGATCGTCTCCAAGATATTTTTTTTGAGAAGTATATTTTCACTATATGGAGGCACATTTTAATAGTTTTTGAAATAAAAAATGTCTGTTATAAAATATAAATACCTTGTGATAATGTAGTTCCAAAAAACCTATTTCTATTGTTATCTATACAAATATAGTATATTTTTTCTTTCTTTTAAATAATTTAAAAAAATCAAGATACGCAGTTTCACCATGCAGATATCATTATGCAATAATAATAATAATAATTTTTCAAAATTTTGTCAACCAATAAAAAAAAATCACATTTATTTAATCAGAATTTTATTAAGAAAGAAGTATTTAACAAAAAATATAAAAAATATACGTTTATTTTGTTTATGTATCATTAAATGAACAAAAATATAATTAAGTTTACGTAAAATCAAAATATCTACGTTAAACTATAAAGTTTAATTTAACTTAAACTTATTGACTTATTTATGACCAGTTTTGCTCCATTTAGAAATATTTTATTCTTGAAAAATAATTAATTGGTATAATTTTCATGAAACACGCAACGACACTTTAATTTTTTCGCCTTTTTGAGATCAAATATTAAAAAAATTAACATAATTACATTTATTTTTAATAACCTTATTAAAATAAGTTCAATATTTATATGAATATTCAAATGGTAGAATTAACCGGCTAATTATTCTTAAAGTTTTTTTCATTTACTTGTATAAAAATAATACATAATATAAATTTCTAAAAAAAGAATTAAATTTGATTTCTAATTATCTGTCATTTTATGATAGTTTTCATTTTTACCAAATTTATAACTTATTAAATAGTTACTAAAAATCATATATGATTTTTTATTTTTAAAAATTGAAGAACATTTTAAAAAGTGATTAAATTTGTAACTTTGTTCTTACTTTAATAAATTTAAATACGTATGACAATAAACAATGTATTTTTTATATTTATTTGTATACATACAAACATTATTGCATACTTCTTAAATTAAAATTTAGTTTATGTGATAGATTTCTTGAAAAGAAGTTGTTGATTGCAATTTATTATTACTGCCTTTGAATTAAATCAACTGCCAGAAAATGATCTATTAAGCTGTGCTTACTTACCCAATACTTGTATTAGTAATGTCACTCATAAAATACATGGAATGGTTACTTTTATGCGTTTGTATGAGTAAACTTCAAACAAAAAGGGTTATGTACGTGAATTAATTATATTAGATTATCCTGCATTATAGATCTTACACCAACCTTTAGAATTTAGATGAAAGAAAAAAATGTTTCAATTATTTTATTTAGATTTTATACTTTCAAAAGGATGGAAGTATAACAAAACAATGATGTTATGAATCGCTCGTTCACTTTTAACCATTGATTTTTTTTTTATGTTTTAAAAAACGAAGAACTGAATATTAATGAAATTCTGAAATTCAAACCATATTATCGGTATTATGTCTATCAGTGAATTATTCTTTTTTTGTTTAACTTAAAGTTATGATTGAAACAGACAATATAAAGGATAATATAAAATACACATTATGACCAAATATTCAGTATTAAGAGTTTCTTGTAAGGTTTGGAATAATTATTTTTTACATTGGATATCTATTGCAATTTTCATTTATTTTTTATTTATTAATCCAATATTAACATTAGTGTAAATATTAAAATTTATTTCATATATTTGTTACATTGTGTGTAGGACTGAAAATCTACACCAAATAATACATACATGATATTAACATATTAACTAACATGTTATCTATACTCTTTTGTTATTTTTCATGTTTTGAAAACAATAGTTGTAATAGTCAAAGTAATCACCAATTATTTGATTACTTATTTAAAAAAATAGATAACGTGTGTAATATTTACCTAATTATTTGAATAAAATGATCCTGGATTGGATTTTCTACCAAATAAATGCGTGTTGTTGTTTCCACAAGCGGAAAGATACTGTCGTCATGAAAACACTATATCTGCCCTTGTGATGGTGGCGCGTGTTGTGTGCTCGGTGTGAAGTGGATAAATGCAAAAAATGCAGAAAACTGTATAGAGCGAGCTTTCATCGATTCAATCTTTTCAACATCGGTTGTATTGAACACATTAAGATATTGTAGAACTACTGTTGAAGCAAATAAAAGTGCAAATAATATTCTTTACAAGTATGGTACGTGGAACTATTTTTTTAACAAACTATGCTTAATACAACATGCTTAAGAACTTATTTATATTGTTTTTTATGTAAACTTTCTAATGCTCAATTTGAAATATTCTGTTATTAATTAAGATGTATGCTATGAACAAACAATTTGTTATGTCTTGAAAATAATACTTCGTACCTATTTGCTTTCTTTTATTTGTTATAATTAAAACATTCAAGGTAAAAATTTCAATCAATATAATTTAGTTAATCATATTTTATTTTTATTATTTTTGAAGAAAAAACACGTCAAATATTTAATACACTTTTTTAGAGTAATTAGAAAAATATATTTGTTAAAACCCATATGCATTAAAAACTATTCTTTAGTAGTAATTTGAATGTGAATAACTAATAATAATTTTTATAAAAATTATATCTTATTTATAAAGGTTCATTATTTTCATTTTGCTATATAAAAATAATATTAAGATATTATATCATAGAAAGCATTTTTAATACATTAACAATAAGAAATATTTAATTCATTCACTGTAATAAATACTAAAAATAGTACTAATAATATTTCAATTTTGTTGCATAATTTGATTTTTTATCAAAAACTTCTACTAATATTTGATTGTAACCTAAAAAATGAAAGGTGTATACTTTTTATACTATTTGTTCTTGGAGAGATATTAAGGAGTTTGAATAGAGTTGGTAAAATGTGTTATGAAAAACAGAATTCAGATTACAAACTATATTTACAGTTAAAATATAAATATTAAATGTGTTTTTGTAAAAAATAAAAAATAGAATATTGTTTAGTGATAAATATGATGATTGTCCCTTAGTGTAAGAAAACAAAAAAAATTTAAGTTATTATTCATAAATGGAAATTTTATTTAAGTCATTTTTACCTCCTAAACATTTTTTAAGTTTTATATTAAGAAAAAATATGAAATCACTATTAAAAATTCTTGTACCATTATATAAAAACGAATTCTTCAACACAAGTAAAATACTTTTATAAATAAAATACTAAAGTTCCAGTCAAAAAGTAAGTGCCCGGGAGTGTTATTTTGAAAAGAGTGACTTCAATGATATACAAAATGACTCTATAACTCTTAAACAGTTAAATTACATAGCATAAAATTTTCCCGTGGAAAATTAACTTTTGTGTATGATTTACGATTTAGCTGACTATTTTTTTATAAGTTACTAAAAAAAAAAAAAACTACTTAGGGTCGATCGGTCACCTTTATTCTAAAATTCTGCTTAACACGTTTGCAAACATCATCTATGCACACATCAGCAGACTTCATATCACATTCAATAACGTCCTTCCATCTTTTTTTTTGATCTTCCTCTTCTTCCTTTAACATCTATTTCCATAACTTCTCTTATAGCTTACGATTCCTTTTTCCTTACAACATGACCAAACTATCTTAGTCTATTTTCTCTCATCTTATCTACGATTGACGCTACATCTATTCTACCTCTTATATGCTCGTTCCTTATTCCATCTTCTCTAGTCACATCACTAATTCATCTAAACATTCTTATCTCTGCTCTATCTTCTTGTGAACCGCCCAACACTCTGAACCATTCATCAAAGGTGGTCTCACTACAGTCTTATAGAACTTACCTTTCTGCCTCATTGAAACTCTCTTATAGTATAATACACCAGACGCTACATTTCATTTTACCCACTCGCACTTAAACCAGTGTTTTACATCCTCGTCAAAGCTATCGTTCTTTTGTACAACTGATCCTAAATACTTAAAACTTTCCACCTCTCCTATTTGTTACTGATCTCTTCATTTCACCTACCTCGCATTCTACTTTATTTAACTCGTACTCTATATACTCTGTCTTACTCATACATATTCTTCATCCCTTTCCTTCAAGAGCTGATCTCCAGACCTCTAGCCTTTGATTAATTTCATCCCTATTTTCTCGTATTAACACTATATCATTAGCGAACAACATGCATCACGATACCTCTCCTTGTATTTCTTTAGTAATTTCATCCGTCATTATACAAAATAAGTAAAAAAATTAAAATACAATTACGTATAATTTTAGTAAATTCGTAATTTATTCTTAAATTATACATTATAATGAAATTTACTTTAAATATTGAGAATATATCAAACTTGCTTGAAAATTATAAATGATAAATTATACTGTTCTTAAATGTGTATAATTTTTTTGTATAACAAATAATTTCTTTTATGTAGGTAAATTTTATTTCTATGATTTTTTTTTTGCCGAGATCTTATGTCAAAAACCATTAAATTTTTAACAAATGCAAAAGAGATAAAGGATAAAATTATATTAATATAAAAATAAGAAATAAATAAAGAATAAAATATTTATCAAAAATTATCTTTATAAGTAAAATTAAAACTATATTAAAAATATTATTAATTTAAAAAACTAAAAAATATTAAAAATATTAAACTCAAAGCCACAAAAAAAATTAATGAAAAGTCGCGGATACGTATTTCGGAAACAATGTTACCATTATCAACGCTAAACATGAAACGCTTAAACATAAACGCTGAACAAGAAATAGAGGGAAAATTGCCTTTTTTGGATTTATTAGTTAAAAGAACAGAGGGGGAACTAAATTTTGAAATTTATCGGAAAAATACACACACGTNATTTTGCTAACATCTAAGAGTAATAATTTAAGAGATTTATTAGGTAACCCTAAAGATAAGGTAGATGAAGGGGGGAAATCAGGCGTTTATAAAATACAATGTGAAAGTTGTAATAAATGTTACGTAGGACAAACAAAAAGAAATATAGGGGTCAGGTTTAAAGAGCACTTAAGAAATATTAAAAATCAAGAAATTGAGAAATCTCCAGTGGCCGAACATTTATTGACACATAATCACTCTATTAAAACCATAAAACTAATTAAAAACGTAAATAATTACAAAGAACTTAATATCAGAGAAGCAATAGAAATGTTTAAAAATAAAAACAATTTAATTAATTGGGATCTTGGCCCACTGAAAAATTCATTATTAAACTTGTGTAAACTGGCAAAATGTGATAATATTACTTAGTGATAACGTCACTAGGTGATAAGGTCACTAGGGGTATATAAGGGAGTTTTTTCTAGTCGGGGTGTCAGTATGTGTTTAGCGTTGATAATGGTAACATTGTTTCCGAAATACGTATCCGCGACTTTTCATTAATTTTTTTTGTGGCTTTGAGTTTAATATTTTTAATATTTTTTAGTTTTTTAAATTAATAATATTTTTAATATAGTTTTAATTTTAATTAATTAGCCACAAGTGATCAATTTTTATTATATTATCTTTATACTTTATTCATTGTTAACCACATAATTTTCAATTTATATGAAAATTATTATAAAATAGCCATTACACTTTTTTCATCATGCTATAAAAAATAAATTTTGTGTACAAAGCTAAAATAAATAAACCACATTATTTGGACAATATAAGTAATATTTGGAAGTCCGTAAAGCTTCTAATAAAAAGTTTAATCCAAAAAATAAATTTATTAATTTTAAATATCGATATTATATTATTTTTTTACGATCATATCATTTCAAGGCGTTTAAAACAAATTAATTAAAATCTATACGGAAATTTTGAACCTAAACTGAAAAACTAATTAAAATTTTTTATTTGATTTTTTTCTATAAACAAACGTTTTAACCTTTAGAAGTTAAAATACTAAATTTTCGGCCCACAAACATTTAACATAAAACAAAAAAATTGTAGCACAGTAGGATCGGGGCACAGAATGGACTTGTCACAATTGGAACGGAAACCTGTTTATAATGTTTAATTTTAAGAAATTGGTGGTTTATTCAAAAATTAAAATGAACTCCTACATCCTTATTTATTTAAAAATAAATTGTTACTTATAAAGCTAATTTCATGTTATGTTATTAAAATGAACGAATTAAAGAGAAAATTTATAGTTTCATTACATGTATTAAATAATAAAAAAACGTTGTGTTATAGATCACAATATCTTTCGCCTACATTGAAACATTGTAAATCAGATTCCATAAGATAATATGCTGATTGGCTAGAATCACTGAAATTTATTGTGAAATGAAATGATTGGTTAATTTAAAATTAAAACTATAAAACACAAAAAATGTATACAAAAAAAAAAAAAAAAAAATGAAGGGGCCACTTTAAAACTATAATGATCTTTAATCTTTAATCGGAGTTTTCCAAAAATAATTTTAATATATTTTTTCATAGATATTAAAAGATGATGACTACTCCAAAAATACTATATCTTAACAATAAAAGTCAAGACATTTTTTTTACACATATCTACGTCAAATACCCAGAACAGGATTTGGAATGCAATTTGGTAGATGTCTATAACAGCTCAACGTTATATTAAATTGAAGTGACTGTGTATGAAAGGCACGAAAACACATAACTCTATTATACAGATATTAATATATAAATATGAACAAGCGTCTTTAGAAATTCTAATTTTATCGTTAAAAGCAAAATTACGTGGTACAACGAAATGCATAAAATTCCGTTCGAAAAATGTACAGCCACATAACTCTTCATTTAATTGATTCAAGAAAAGAGCATAAACCAAAAGAGAAAAAAACGTGTTGTGAAAATAAAACTTTTATAGTAAAGTTTTGAATTTTCAATATCATTACAAATTAAGCTGCTTAAATAAATAATAATTATCTTTAAACTTTCTTCGAAACATTTTAACTTCACTTTATTAACTTAGAACTGTTAAGTGTTTATTTTTTTCATTTATCGGATGAAAGGTAAAAGAGTAATTTGTAAAAGTTTTATTTTCATCGGCATTTCTGGGGAGTCATCATTGAAACGTTATCCAATTAAGATACTTATAGTGTCAGCTTCATACATTAATTGAATGTCTAAAAGCAAAATCTATTACAACATAACAATTTCTATTGGTCGATATATTCAACCGACTATTCGTTATATTTTTTAGCGTAACAGATTGATTATTTGACTATGACTCACTACAATATCTTTAAAAATATAAAACATAATATAATTTGTTCTTTTCCGGTGTTAATAATATCTTAGGTCCTATATTTTCTAAAAAATCATTTGGTCACCCATCTTTCTCCTTTAAAATGTCATTAAATTATGTTTTTTAATGGAAAGTTATATGTCTAATCAATTGATTAAACTTTCCAAAAAAATGTCTAATCAATATCTAAACCAATAATTTAAAAAATATTAGCATTTTTATTACAAGACGAAAGGAGTAGTGCGATTCATTAATGTATGAAAAAATTAATGAATTACAAAAAAAATTATTTAAACTTGTAGTTGAAATCTATTATCATATCTTAATTTGACAATAAATACTTTAAAAATAAATGATTTTAATTGTCTATATGGAGTAAGTTGATTTAGCAATTTTAATTTAATAAAGTGGATTTTTTTTTAGTATTTGAGGGTAATATCTTTAACTAGATTATAGTTGTGATCAATTGACGTATCGTTAAAAAAAATTGGTAAAGTGAGAGCTGAGAATATAAATGAGAGCCACAAAAAAAATACATAGTAAAATTATTTTAATATGAATAAGAAATTTTTTCTCACGAAAGGAGTCTACAGTACATGATATAAGCTTTATTTTAAGATATATATAAAAGTGTCAGTATTTCCGGAACACTTTCATAAATTAAGATGAAAAATTATCAAAAAAAAATTTTCTTTTCATTAATTATATAAAAAGTTTAAAAAAAGTCAATGATCCACTAATTTATATTTATTTGTGAATATAATCATTGTTTTATACTTCAAAGCTCATTATTTAAAATTTAAACCCAATACCGTAGTTTCTTTATTTTTTAATAAAGAAAAATACAACAACAATAAAAAAATATTATATTTAACCAAAACAGATCAAAAAAAAAATTATAATTAACTTAAAAACATGAAAATTAAGTAAAAAATAATAAATTATCAAGTATTTTTTTGAAAAATCATATAACACTTAATAAATTTTAAAATAAAAATTAATAGTAATTAATAAAAAATGAATTAATCAAAGAAAAGACTTTAGAGAAGTTTGTCCTCTTGTTCTTCCCCTGCTATTACCTCTAGACCCTCGAGATCCTCTACTACCACGATTACCTCGTCCACGCGCTCTAGAAGAACTAGGAGTATTGGTAGAATAAGAAACTTGTGGATCATCAGAATCAACAGACTCGTTACTAGATTCATTTCTTAGATCTATTGATAAATTTGTCTTCGGTGAATAATTCATTTCAGAGTTCAACTCATTACTTAGCTATTTAAAAAAATAACAAGGTAAATAATATTTTAGCAAAGCTGTAGTTTACTGTAAATGCAATTATCAAAGAACTCAAAGAAATTTTTTTGTCTTGTTCATGTTTTAAACTTTTTTTGATTGTCTAGAGTTATGCAATTTTATCAAAAAAAATTTGACTTAAGAGCTCCTCTATTGATATGCTACAAGTTAAATACATTGCTTAATTTTGAACTCAACTAAAAATATGTTAATTTGCATATAATTATTTTCAGAATTACTATAATATAATGTATAAATGCATATATAATCCCTATTAATTTTCATAAAAATTAAGAAAGTTAAAATTATAAGTTTTATCTAAAAATTTATTTATTTACAAAGCTTATTCAATTTTTAGTTATTTTTTCGTAAGCTGTTGTCAATTAAATCATTTTTTCAGAAAAAAGTTTTTTAATTTTAATGGTGTCTAATACAAATTCACAATTTTAATGAGCAAAAACAGACCTTCCCTATAAATAAGCTCATAGTAATTCTCAATACATAATAAAAATATTTTTGAAAATTTCTTTTTGTAAAATGTCAATTTTTTGAAATGTCTATAGAAATTGAACATAAAACTAAGAATTATTTCTCTTAAACAATTAATAAATAAATTGTTACTTCTTGAATTTCTTCATTTAATTTTTGTGTACGGCTTATGCGAAATTGATCTATATAGTTGGTTATATTATTTTCACTTAAATCTTCTTGATTAATAACATAATTTTTCACTTTTTTCATTTGATAACTTATATAAATTCAATAAAATTTAATATTTAAATAGTTTTTTTTATTTATTTTTACAGTTTAATACTAACTCAATGACTTTTTTTATACTTTCAGAACTCTGATTGTTAACAAATCTAGTAACTCCTTCAGCCATTCCTTTAATTGATAATAATTCTAATTGTTTATTATCATTTGTTTTTTCTTGAAAATATGCTTCAATTATTTGTTCAATATTTTCTAACTAAAGTTTAAAAATTAATTAGTCTAAGTGTACATACATATCAATTTATAGATATTAATACTTCTTGATTGTCTACAATTTCTTCCAATGTTTCACCATCAATACAACTCAATTTCTTTTCATAATTTTTTTTCTCCATTTTTAACATGATCATATCATTAGCATTTGCAACACGATCATGATATTTCAAGCCAAATCGATGAGTATTAAAAAATTGCAAATTATTATCATAAAATACTCTCAAACGAATTAATGGTATTAATGGTTGTTTTGGATGACCTAAAGAGAATTTTTTAATGTTAACTATTTTTATTATTTTATTTCATTATTATTGCTTCTTATAAGATACAGTAAAAAGTTGATTACCACTATGTTTATTCCTTAAACTTGCAAGTATTAATTCAATTTTTTCTTCAATATAACTTTGAACCTGTTCAGAATTTGCCAATATATTTTCACACTCAGATAATTTTATTGTTTCAAAATGCATTTGTCTAATACTCTTTAATTCCAACTCTTCCATTTTGAATGATTTATCTTTAATAGTAAGAAGCCCAACACATTTACTCCCTGCCTCCCCTTCACACATTGATGTTGCAACAGTACTCCCTTTAAAATTAAATGTTTATTAACTTTACAATATATAAAAATAATAAGCAACTGATTTAAAGTGAAAATCAAAATTTACCTGGTTGACAAATATATCCTTTATTTGAATGATTAGGTACAGGATTAATTAAACTCTCGTGTTCATGTCCCCAAATGGTTAAATTTATAAAATCTGGAATAACTTCTTCGGGTAGATATTTTGTTCCAGGACGTTTTACTCTATTTTGATGACATACAAATATATTGAACCATTGATCTGTATCTTCTTGAGGTCGAAACATACGAACTTTTCTATCTCGAAATAATCTTTCTAATCGTTCATCTCTAATATGACTTAAACCATAAAGCCCAATTCTGTTAGATCCTTTTTTTAATAAAATCGGAGTTATATCAATATTTTGGAGATTTGTTTGCTTTCCAAAATAGTTTATTAATCCCATTGAACTCAATAAATCCATACAAGAAATTTCTCTGTGTCCTAAAAATAAATTACTAATTTAAAATACAAATATAATAATAATCATTACTCACTTTTAACATTATAAACTAAATAATTAATTTTTAATTATCTATGCCTTTCCATCAACTAAATTAAGTTGTATATTTTTTTACCATTACTAATTTTATAAATTCAAACTTGATAAAATTAATAAATTGGTAACAATCGGTTTGTCTTAAAGTAATGATATTTAAATAAAAAAAATACTTAAAAATTTAAATTATTATTTTAATCTGTTCTATACTTTAAAAACGGTATTATGGCAAAAATAAACTAACCACATGGATCATCATGATTTCCATGAATTGAAAAAACTGGAATAGAAATATTTAAATTTGGATCTTCAAAATTAACAATTGGATTATTGCAATGTTTAAATACTTCTGCTTGATCACTTAAAAATTCTATGTTAACAGGCCTAAAAAAAAATTGAATTTTATATAACCAATACAGATACTTTTATAAATTATTAAATCATTCATTTTTTCAGTAAATATAATAAGTTTCAATTTTGAAAATTTTACTAAAATTTTATATAATTAATCATATAAATACTTTTTAGCTTCGATGCGAAGCTGAGAAGGTATTAATTTTACTAAGATGTGTTTTGTTTTTTTTTTTTAATGTCTGTTGCCACTTTTTCTCAGCTCTCACTGGACCGATTTCTTTCAAAAATACGTCAAAAGATCACAAATCGTATCTAGTTGAAGACATTACCCTTAAAAATTGAAAAAAATTCCCTCGTTCCCCGAAAATGGGGGAAATATCCAAAAAAATTACAAATTTAAAAATCGGTAAATTTTGTCATTTTTTTCACTTTTTTTTCTTAAAACTTCCATAACTTTTTCAAAAATCAACAAATCAACATAATTTTTTTTATATTAAAACCTTAGATATTTCCCATGCATTTGATATAATTTTTTTTGAAAATCTAACATTTATTCTGCTCACTGGGGGAATTTAAAATAGTAACTTTTTCACAAAAAATAACTTTTTCAACTTAATTTTTGCAAATGTTACAGAAATACTGCATCCTTTAAACATATATCAAATTAAAGCTTATTTTATGTGCTATAAAATAAAAAAAAAATTTGTCCCGACAACCAATCTTCTATGCGCAAATGGCTACCGTATTCAAAAAAATGCTATTTTAACAAATTTTTTTTTTTAAAATTAAACACTATCTACAGATTTGCATCGAAGCGTTTTTTATGATAGTGATTATAATCACTGTCAGATATCATCTATACTGGACCCAACTATGCAACATCCCCACTATGCCGCGACCCCACTGTGCTGGGTTTTTTTTAAATATTTATCTTTAACAAATAACATTTTTAAACTTATAAGATTATATGATGTTTGTTTTAAATATAGTTAAGCCATGAAAAATAATAATACAAGTTATTAACTGTATTCATCATTAGTTCAAAAATTATGTACAATATATTCCATGTAATTATTTATTATACTTCATATTATATACAAAAAGTTTCTACACTAAATCAAATTTAATTTTGTAAAATTCTAGAAAAAATGTTCATACAAAAATGACTTTTTTAAAATCAACATTTATTACAGAATGGTAATTTTGGATAATTACAAGTAATTTTTCTAATAACACAATCATTATACAAATTTTCAAAGTTTAGTTCATTTATAATTCATTCATAATTGTAAACTATAAGCTCTATTAAAAATCCCCCATATTTAAAAAAATGAAATATGATAAGCATTCATTTTTATAAAATATTACTACTGATTAAATAACATACTTATCACCAAGACAGTAAGTTCGTAAAAGTGACATACATCTCTCTAAACTTGCTGTTGATGGCTGATTAACATGGAATAAATCACCAGCTAATAATAGAAAGTCCACTTGATGTTTGACAGCTAGCTGTAAAACTTCTTCAAAAGAGTTGAAAGAATCATCAGCTAAAAAATATAAACAACAATTCAGAGTTGTTAAATTCTGGAAGTTGAAAATTGTAAAAATTTTTAAATATCTCTGAAATAAATAAAATGCATTACTTAATTATATTTTTTGTTGAAATCCACCCAAATATACAGTTTTATGATTATTTACTCCGTAATATTACATAATTAGTGCTAATGACAGTTATAAATAACCACTTTTCAAAATTAAATTAATCTAATCTGCAATTCATAAATTCCAAAATTTTAATTCATTAAATTGTTGAAACTTAGAATCTTCGCTTAGTCATTGCTAATAACTACTGAAATGTTTATATATTTGTTTAAATAATATATAGATGAATTAGTTTTATTTTTTATATTTAAATGTTATAGTTTTTGTAACAAAAAATCATACCATTTTTCTTTCAAAATGAAACAAGAGGTAAAAGACAAAATTTTATATAGTGAAAAATGAAAATAGATGTTTAAAATTACATTTTCCCAATAAAAAAATATTGAAAATGTGTGTTAATATTTCAAGTATTTATTTTGTTGAAAGAAATATACAATAACACAATATACAACCACAATATAATGCCCACCAAGTTTTGACATTATTAATAACTATTGATCCAATAAATATTTTGTATTACTTTTTTGTTTAATAATGTATATAGATTCTTTTTTTATTTTGACATGATGACATTTTTTTATTTTATCAAAAGTTTAAAATAGCGTTTTTCTTACAAAAACTCTAGATGGGTTGATAAAAACATAAGCTACAGGATAACGATAAGTTACAAGCGTCTTGATACAGATGGGCAGAATGTTCATTAAAAATATATACCAAAATAAGATGTACCTACCCGTATTACATATCTCACTCTATGTATTAAAATACTAGTAACTCAATAAGTACATAGCCTAAAATTGTTATCAATCCATTACATTTTTTTTTAAGAAAAGAGCTAAAAAGTGACTATTTTTAAATTTTGAAAATATTTTTACTTTTTCTTATGAGACACAAATAATAAAAAGTATCCTATAAACTCTTAAAATAATAATTTTCAAAGAAAATTATTTTTGGTATTTTTTAAAATTTTTGATTTATTGACTATTAAATGTTTTTTTAATTCATTAGTTATATGTTAAAAGAGCAACAACTTTATTTTTTTTTTAAGGCAACAGGTATATTTAACTAACTTATAAAATAAAAAATTTTCTAGTTAAAAATATAATTAGCCAATAACAACTTTTTAAATAATGTTGACACCATTATAAGTCGTAAAAGATGAAATAAATTTTTTTTTCATATTAAAATAATCATTCTGTATAAATTATGAAAGGAATTGACTAATGAAGTATAAATATCTAATATTCTACAAGTGGAAAACTAGATCTATTATTATAATAATAATACTTAAAAATACATATGTTTTGTTTTTAGACAGGGAATAAAATAACTAGTTTTAGAAGTAGAAATTCATTACTATTATTATTGAGGAATATATGGGAAAGCATAATAAAATGTTAAATTTGAAATAAAAAAAATATTAAAGTATAAAAGGCACCTCTTGTTAAATCTTTTTCCATAAACCCAAGATGAATATCAGTAGCAACAAGTATACGAAAGTTCTCTTCTATTGAGGACGAATTCATTTTTGGCAAATTTACTGTAAACTACCTAATTATTTTGAAAAGAGTTTAATAACGAATTTATTATTTGATAAAGTATACGGTATGTTATCATCTGAACGTTGCGTGAAAGTGGATTTATACACCTTGGATATGTGGTTGGTATAAGCATTGATTAGATATGATGTTATCTGTTCTGTGATATAAAATATCTTTTTTGGTATTATCTGGGTAAGATAGAGCTTTATCTTATCTATGTTATAGATAACAATTATCATATTAAAATTATTCAAAAAATATTTTTTATGGGAAATATTCATAACAAAATTTTATGAACCGTTTCCTTTTAGTGTCCCAGGGTATCAGTCCATTATAGTGGACAAAAATAGTTTAATGGAGATAACAAATTCTAATAGCCTGAAAATCATATTTTAAAAACATCTGCGCATAGCTAAGGTGTTTTACTATAATGTATATTATTTGTGTATTTACTTAAATATTTAGATCCTATTCAGGCAAGGTGCATTACGATAGAACACCCAGTTACAATAATTGCTTTAATTAGTATGCAATTTCAATCGACAAACGTACATAAGTTTAAAACTTTTAGCTTCGATGCTAAGCTGAGAAGGTATTAATTTTACTATGATGTCTGTTGCCACTTTTTCTCAGCTCTCACTGGACCTATTTCTTTCAAAAATACGTCAAAAGATCACAAATCGTATCTAGTTGAAGACATTACCCTTAAAAATTGAAAAAAATTCCCTCGTTCCCCGCAAATGGGGGAAATATCCAAAAAAATTACAAATTTAAAAATCGCTAATTTTCGAAATTTTTTCACTTTTTTTTCTTAAAACTTCCATAACTTTTTGAAAAATCAACAAATCAACATAATTTTTTTTTATACTAAAACCTTAGATATTTACCTTTCATTTGATATCATTTTTTTGAAAATCTATCACTTAACCTGCTCATTGGGGGGGATTTAAAATGGCAACTTTTTTACAAAAATTAATTTTTTCAACTTAATTTTTGAAAATGTTCCGGAAAGACTGCGTCCTTTAAACATATATCAAATTAAAGCTTATTTTATGTACTACAAAATGAAAAAAAAAAATTTGTCCCGACACTTTTTTTTCTACATTTAAACGGCTGCCGTAGTTAAAAAAACACTATTTTTGTGTTAAAATTTTCGATTTTCGATTTTAAATTTTCAACTTAAAAATGCTATAACTTTTTGAAAAATGTATATATCAGCACAAATTTTTTTTTTCTAAATACATTATAAGTACATCTTTCATTTGACATACTTTTTATTAAAATTGGACAATTTCCCCTTATATAGGGGGCGTTCAAAACTTAAAATATTGTAAAAAACATAGATCTTTTTCAACTGAACTTTTGAAAATGTTCCGGAAATACTGCGTCCTTTAAACATATATCAAATCAAAGGTTATGTTATATACTATCAAATGAAAAAAAAAAATTTGTCCCGACATCTTATCTTCTATGTGCAAATGGCTGTCGAAAATTTAAAAAAAAATGTAATGTTTGCGATAAAAATTACATTTTATCGGGATGTTTTTTGTACTTAAAACTGCCATAACTTTTTCAAAAATGAACAAATAAAAATAATATTTTTTTGTATTGAAACCTTAGATATTTCCCTTTCATTTGATATAATTTTTTTTGAAAATCTAACACTTATTCTGCTCACTGGGAGGATTTAAAATAGTAACTTTTTTACAAAAAATAACTTTTTCAACTTAATTTTTGAAAATGTTCCGGAAATACTGCGTCCTTTAAACATATATAAAATTAAAGCTTATTTTATGTACTATAAAATGAAAAAAAAAAATTTGTCCCGACGATCTATCTTCTATACGCAAATGGCTACCATATTGAAAAATATACTATTTTTGTATGATAATTATGGGTTTTGTATTTTATTTTAATAGAAGTTGATGTTGCTTTTGCAATTATCCATTAATTATTAAAATGAAACACTATCTACAGATTTGCATCGAAGCGTTTCTTATGATAGTGATTTTAATCACTGTCAGATTAAATCTATACTGGACTCTACTATGCAATGTCTCCACTATGCCGCGACCCCACTGTGCTACCGTTTTTTTAAGTAAATTTAATAAATAAAAGTTGCATAGTTTTGTCTCGACCAAAAAATCAAGACAACTACACATCCGTTTGTAAATAAAAATTAAGTTATAAAAATAATAGGATTAAGGTCTCCTTTGATAAGGTATAAAAAGCTAACAATATATATTACTGAGATTATAATTCATTTACCAAAATAACAATTTCAGCGGTCATAATCTAAGTCTTTTTCTATATCACAACAAGTACAATTGCGATTAAAAAGTTAATGAAAAATTTAGTTTTTTCTAAACAAGTCTTTTTTTAATTAATGGAGAATTTTAAGACTACAGTTATTTTATTACGAGTAAACTGAGAAGTGCACACATTTTTTAATTGTTTAATCTGTAATCTATAATTATAGTTTTAATATATATATATATATAGTTAATTATATTAAATTGGTACATTATTATTCGTTCCTAGAAAGTGTGTTTTTTCATTTCTATCAATATTCCTGTATTGTTAAATATTGTACTAAGAAAATTATTTCTATTTTATATATTGCCAATAAGCGCGACTCTTAATTACAAGGAAATAAAAGTGCCCAGTTGCGATCAATTTATTGTTTTTTTGTGAATTCAGATTATGTACTTTTATCCTTTTAGCTTCGATGCTAAGCTGAGAAGGTATTAATTTTACCATGATGTGTTTATTTATTTATTTTTTTTTTTTTTGTGTCTGTCACTACTTTTTCTCAGCTCTCACTGGACCGATCTCTTTCAAAAATACGTCAAAAAATCACAAATCGTATCTAGTTAGAGACATTACCCTTAAAAATTGAAAAAAATTCCCTCGTTTCCCGAAAATGGGGGAAATATCCAAAAAAATTACAAATTTAAAAATCGGTAAATTTTGTCATTTTTTTCACTTTTTTTTCTTAAAACTTCCATAACTTTTTCAAAAATCAACAAATCAACATAATTTTGTTTTAAACTAAAACCTTAGATAATTTTCTTTCATTTGATATAATTTTTTTGAAAATTTAACATTTAGCCTGCTCATAGGGGGGATTTAAAATCGCAACTTTTTTACAAAAACTAACTTTTTCAACTTAATTTTTGAAAATGTTCCGGAAATACTGCGTCCTTTAAACATATATCAAATTAAAGCTTATTTTATGTACTATAAAATGAAAAAAAAAAATTTGTCCCGACACTTTATCTTCTGCATGTAAACAGTTGCCGTAGTTAAAAAAACACTATTTTTGTGTTAAAATTTTCGATTTTCAATTTTTAATTTTCAACTTAAAAATGCTATAACTTTTCGAAAAATGCATGTATCAGCACAATTTTTTTTTTTCTAAATACATTATAAGTACATCTTCCATTTGACATACTTTTTATTAAAATTAGACAATTTCCCCTTATATAGGGGGGGTTCAAACTTTGAAACATTGTATAAAAAATAGAACTTTTTCAACTAAACTTTTGAAAATGTTCCGGAAATACTGCGTCCTTTAAACATATATCAAATTAAAGTTTTTTTTATGTACTATAAAATGAAAAAAAAAAATTTGTCCCGACACCTTATCTTCTATGTGCAAATGGCTGTCGAAATTATAAAAAAAATGTAATGTTTACGATAAAAATCACCTTCTATCGGAATGTTTTTTGTACTTAAAACTGCCATAACTTTTTCAATAAATAACTAATCAAAATAATATTTCTTTATATTGAAACCTTAGGTAATTTCCTTTCATTTGATATCATTTTTTTTTGAAAATCTAACACTTATTCTGCTCACAGGGGGGATTTAAAATAGCAACTTTTTTACAAAAACTAACTTTTTCAACTTAATTTTTGAAAATGTTCCGGATATACTGCGTCCTTTAAACATAAATCAAATTAAAGCTTATTTTATGTACTACTAAATGAAAAAAAAAAATTTGTCCCGACGACCTATCTTCTATGCGCAAAAGGCTACCGTATTCAAAAATATGCTATTTTTTTATTAAAATTCTGGGTTTTGTATTTTATTTTATTTTAAAATATCTTATTAGGGGAATAAACTGACTTTTATGAATATTATATAATATCATTGACATAGAATAAAGTTCATAAGATATATGAAATTATACTTATTAAAATTTTTTTACTTTTTTAAAGTCGAAAAAGTAATTTTTAAATTTGAGTTAGCTTAGAGCAGCGGTTCCCAAACTTTTTCAGCCATGGAGCCTTTTTTTAAAGATTTATTTCTCGCGGAGCCCCAAAAAATATTTCATGATGTTTTATCTACCTGTATTCTATGAAGCCTAATAAACACGAAACGTGTATATATGATATTAAATATAAAACGATAAATACAAATAAAAGAAAAAATAATATCAAAAGAACAAGAGAAAATATTATTTATTACTTAAAATTTATGAAATGTTGTGTCAATGAAAATTCTTATAATTACAAAATGAGAATACAACTGAAGCGTGGTGTGGCAAAACAGACAATCTCCATGTAAATATGAGATAAAAATTAGTATTACTAGTCAATATGTAGTGGAAAATTGAATAAGAAAATAAAAATAAAAATTTTTTTCAAAGTGGAGAATGTCGGTTTTACCGCACAACGCCTCAACTAGTTACGGTTTATTGAAAAAAAATATATATTTATTTATAACATAACATGTGTTCTTGAAGTTCAAGTCTTAATGTGAACAGTGTGCCTGCTTTTTGCGACTAAGTTTGTCAATGTCCGGTGTCACAGAAGTTAATTGGAGATGCATATCGTCTTCTGCATTTAAACGTGCTCGATATTTTGTTTTGGTAGCAGTGTACCTCGAAAAAGCCATTTCACAAAGATACGTCGTACCAAAAGGCAATAAGAGCAATTTAGCTTTTGATCTCAATACTGAAAAATCTTCCCCTAACTGAGCCCAAAATTCAGATATTGGTTTGTTTTTAAATGACGTCTGATTGTGACTCTCCGAAACCATGTCAATAAAAACCTCATATTCTGCCGCATTAAGAGCTGCTGGTTTTGATGTCACTGAAAATGGATTTATAATCCATTCGCAGTTTTTTTGAATCGATTCTTGAGCATCCTTTGGAAAGTATGAATTCAAATTTTGAAGTAAATTATTAAGGTGTTCTTTAATTATTTCTAATAATGATTCATTTATTGTTAATTTGTTTTCTTGTAAAAAGTTTGTGGTCAATGAAAAACATGTAAGGTCCTTATTATCAACGCTTTCAATGTAGAATGCTACTTTTTTCTTAAGTGCTAAAATTTTATCATTGGCATCAAATATTGTTTTCTGTTTTCCTTGTATAGATGTGCTGAATTCATTAATTTTCGAAAAAATATCTGCTAAGTAACATAATTTGATCAGCCATTCCTGGTCATTCAAATAATCTTCGAGCAAACTATTTTGGTCATTCAAAATTAAAGAAACTTCTGTTCGAAGTTCAAGTAAGCGGGACAACGCCTTGCCTCATCTTACAACCATCTTACTTCTGTGTGTAATAATAATGACTTGTGTACAGCTCCCATGTCTTCACACAATATTTTAAGTAGTCTAGATTGCAAAGGTCGTGTCTTAATATAGTTAATAATTTTAACTGCGTTGTCTAGCACTTGCTTTAATACAACTGGTACTTTTTTTGTTGCTAGAGAATGTCTATGCAAGACACAATGACTACTCGTGCATTTTTTTGAAACTTCCTTGATTCTTGCCACTACGCCAGCAATATTACCCATCATGGCCTTTGCATCATCTGTACACACGTCAATACAATTGTCTCATGGTATTGAATTTTCAATGAAAAAGGCATCAAGCATAGAAAAAATTTCACTTCCGCTGGTTGAAGATGGAAGTGGTTTACAGAACAGAATATCTTCATGAAAAGAACCTGATAACTCGTACCGTACAAACGTCATTAACACAGCTAATCCGGCAACGTCCGTAGATTCGTCTAGTTGTAACGAAAATTTAGTTTGACTAATACGAGAAATTAAGGTATCCTTAACATCGTGTGATAAATCCTGAATTCGATTACGCACAGTATTATTCGATAAGGGTACACTGGAGATTAAATTTGCAGTTTTTTCGTCCACCATGCAGTTTACTACTTTCGCTAATAGTGGTTTTATAAGAGTTTCAGCGAGGGTATGTGGTTTTCCAGCAAGAGCCAGTTCATAACTTACTAAGTAAGATGCTTTCAGTGCGTTCTCATTATGTGTCTTTACATGAGATACAAATGTTTTCTGAATTGAATGGAGTTCATCACTTTTTCTTTTAAAATAATCTGTAGTTTTATTCATGAAATCAGGATGAGTTTCGAAATGTCGTTTAAGTTTGGCGGGAAACATTGAGCTATTAGGCAAAACTTTGTTACATATTATTACACATTGAGGACGTCCATTAACAAACTCAGTGAATCCCATGTCCAAATATAAATCACAATATTTTCGTTTTTTACTCCCTTTCTGTACCTCGACATCAGGCATCGTCGATTCTAAAGTAGTTTTATCAATACAGTGTTCAGATTCCTCTTTTGATTTAGCAGTAGTTGATGGCTGTTGATTCTCCGGTTTAATGGAACCCGTTTTAAACCATCGCTCCATTTTAAAAGAAATAATGCCGTTAAATAAAATAATAAAATAATTGTTAAAAACTTAAAACACGTCTGTCGTTCGTAAATACGCACTATAAACTGACAAAATAATTAATGTACGTCGGACCTAGTCGCGTAGATATTTATAGATTTATAGACCTTGGGTCAAAAAGGACCAAACTCACTTTTTGGAGAAATTGAGATAAACGGTTATCTTATTAAATGTTATGTATATTTTTTTGTGCTAGAAGGGCGTATCTTAGTTATCAAAATTAAAAGAAATAGAGAGGCCAATGTTGTAAATAAAATTTTGTAATGCTGTAAACTTCTATAAAATTTTTAATAAAACAACATAGCAAACCAAGTGCATTCCATTTTGTAGTATAAATTACACTTATTTTAATTGCAAATGGAAAAAAAAGTACAATAAAAAATAAAAATTTTATGGGATTTAAAAGTTGAAAAAAATTAAATTGTTAATTTTTCGTTTAAAATATTTAAATTGTATAAAATAACAAATAAATTTTAAAATGATCAAATTTTTTTGGTGTAACGAGTGGAGCCCTCAAAAAAAAGTCGCGGAGCCCCAAGGGCTCCGCGGAGCACAGTTTGGGAACCGCTGGCTTAAATAGTCAATTTTATCAAGCAACAAAAAGCAACGAACAGTTGCCGAATGGGTAACATTTTGATCTTTCACGCCTAGGGAAGAGGTTCAAATCCGTCTGTGACTTTTGACTCATTTGATATTTATCTCATTTAGATTCAATAATTTCAATAAATATAAAGGATCTTATCACTATAGTCTCCCCTCGTGAGAAGAAATTTATATTCATGATAATATTATTTTACTATGTAGTTTTTTTTGTGGCTTTATTTTGCCTACCCTCACTAGACCTACTTTTTTCAACGATACGTCAATTGATTACAATTCGTATTTAGTTGAAGATATTACCCTTAAAAAATGAAAAAATATTCCTTATTCAAATAAAAAGTAGCTTAACTAGCTTTTTCCATACAAACAATTATAATCATTAATTTCTAATATTCTTAAAGTATTTATTGTCGAATTAGATTTGATATGATAAAAGTTTTCAACTACAAAGGTAAATAATTTTACTTTGTAATTTATTTATTTTTTAACTCTATTTGTGTGTGATACTACCAGTCTGTAATATTCCAATTTTTTTTGTAACATGTTGCTATATAAATCATTTCTAAAAAAAATGATTTTTTTTTACCTGAATTTAACGATGGATTTTTACAATTATAATCAAATTTTATAATACGCTCAATTGAGTAAATCTTTTTTTTTATTGTTTTTTTTAGATATATAATCATTAAAATTAATTAAATTTTGAATATTTCCATTGTAGAATCTTTTTAAACGCCAAAGGTTAATTAGAAATGATTACTATGATTTTTATTTAAGTGATCTATTACGATAAAAATGTAAAAAAATCTAACTTTTCTGATAAATTTATTGTAAATAGTAATTATAAAATTCCCTGATTTCATATTAATCTTAACAATTTCATTTTTTTCTATTTAATAATGTCAATTTCAAACTTGCAAGTTGAGCTAAATGTTATAGTAATAAATAATTTTTTTTCTTTTTTATTAAAACTTATAAAAAGTAGGTTCAAAATGATTACTTTTAACATATTATTTTATTTTGTCTTCACGGTGAACACAAACATCAAAATTAATAAAAAACATACAATTTTTGTAAAAAAATTCTTTTTTATATTTATAACTTTATAATGCCATAAATTTTTAAAAAATGTATGAATCAACACAATTTTTTTATGAGAAATAGTATTTATATCCCTTGTTCATTATCTTAATCAGGATATAAATAAGAAAATAGCAGATCATGTAGCTTTTGGAATAATCCATCAATTTTTTAAAATTAAACACTATCTACAGATTTGCATCGAAGCGTTTCTTATGATAGTGATTTTAATCACTGTCAGATTAAATCTATACTGGACCCTACTATGCCACGTCCCCACTGTGCCGCGATCCCCATGTTGCTNCAACTATGCAACGTGTCCACTATGCCTCGACCCCACTGTGCTGGGTTTTTATTATTTCAGTTTATATCTAGTGCGACTATAAAATTTATACTATTCAAGAAATTTGTCAGTGTTTGGTTAATATACATAATCAAAAACATTTACAAAAAATTTTTTGTATAACTAATAATAATAAAATAATTATATTTTTCTAAAATATAAGAATGTAATATAATTATACAAATTTAAGTGTTGAATTTACGGTGTTCACTCCCGTAAATCATTCGATTTTTCTTAAAATAACAACTATTATAAAAACTTGATTTGTCATTTTTAAATTTCATATATGCTTTTTAAACATTAAAAATTGATAATTTAATATTATGTGTTATTAATATCTATATTTAATGTCAACAGTGCAAAAAAATCATAAGTTTCTTTTATATGAAAGTCAATGTAATAACTTATATATTCTGCAAAGCTAACCTCATATTCTCTATTATCTAACTTATAATCATCGTAATCGTTTATCAATAAAGCCAATTGAGTAATACTGTTTGAAAAAGAACATAAATATTTTGAACAATTATTAAGACTCATAAATGAATTATCTAATGTATTTTTCAAATTACTTGCAAAATTATCATCATCAGGTATTGACATATTTATTATGGACGATAGTTTCGAAAAAAATACGTCAGTATAACTTACATGATTATAACCTTCAGGAAATAAACTTTTAAAAAACAGTGCCTTATTACAAAGATAATGTACTAATTCTATATAGTCATTGATTTTTCTTATAAGCAAATCCTTTATTTGTAAGGTCATTGTTCTATCTTGTTTTGTTGTTTCTTCAGCATAAATCAATTCATAACCATATATCATGTGTGAAAATAATCGATTACAGAACCTAATATTTTCACAACACTTGCATTTTACGAATTTAAAAATTAACTCTACCTTTTTTTTATGATTGCTTAAATTAACATGCAAATTTGTTGACGAAGGTAGCTGTGTATTATTCTGTTGTATATTTATATTGTTGTCGATATTATCAAAGATATTATAAACTGTAAATATTTTAGAGTTGTTTCCATGTCCTTGTTTAACTTTTATATCATTTAATTTATGCCATACATCTACATTCGCAAGTAAATTATTAAGAATTTTAATTTTTTCAATTTCTTTGTATATTATTTCCACAAAATTTGACAGTAGTGTTGGAATTAAAATAACGATTAATACAAAACAGTTTAGAAAATTCATATTTAACACAATATAAAGTTTAAATAAATAGTATAAATTTTTATAAATCAAAACTAATGAACACTAACACACAAAACTTGTACTGAGATCTATGTATAGCGTAATGCCATTTTTTAATTGTCTTTTGTTATTTATTTTAAGTAGGAATATGAATGATTTATGAAGCCAACTGTACATTTTTTTATTTATATTTCAATTTATTTAATTAAATTTTAAAAATAATTATTTTAAAATACGTTATTTGTAACAAATCATTCGAATACGTCGGCTTGTTAAACAATGAAGTACTTTAAAAATTTAACAAAAATAAAATTATATAGTGTGAAATTCAAATATTATATTTATTACTACTTAAATTACTATTTACTACTACTTATTAAAATTAGACAATTTCCTCTTACATAGGAGGCGTTCAAAAATTGAAATATTGTATAAAAAATAGAACTTATTTAACTTAACTTTTGAAAATGTTCCGGAAATACTGCGTCCTTTAAACATATGTCAAATTAAAGCTTATGTCATGTACTATAAAATTAAAAAAAAGAATTTGTCCCGACGACCTATCTTTTATGCGCAAATGGCTATTGTATTCAAAAATATGCTATTTATGTGTTATAATCCTGGGTTTTGTATTTTATTTTATTTAAAAATATCTTATAAGGGCAATACACTGACTTTCATGAATATTATATAATTTAATTGACATAGAATAAAGTTCAGTTTTTTTTTTTTTTCCGATCGGCTTGATTGTGGACCGCCCTGGAACTACCATTAGGTATTACTTCAGGGCAGCCCACGCCGTCTTTAAACTCACACCACCACGTTGTGAATCAGCCCGAAATTAATCAAGAGCTGATTCACAACGTGGTGTGGCCTTCCCCGTTAAAGCGAAGGGGGCACAAATAACTCACGAAACAAAAACATAAAACACGAATACCTAAGGCGCCGGCCTAAACCAGCGCCTCAGGTTCTCCTGTGCCGGGCGGCGTGGCTGCCTCTGTCTCAGGCGTTCCGCTTCCTCCTTCTTTTTCAAGATGGATTCGGCGAACGCCTGGACGAGCCTCCACGCCTCCCGAGTCCTCAACATCAGGTCCACCATGGACCCGACTCGAAACGTGGACCCTAGTCGAGACTCCAAAGAGTCCCGTTCCTGGGCCCACGCCTCGCACCGGAAGAGGGTGTGCAAAGCGCTATCAGCCTCTCCCGGGCGATCCGAACAGTGGTCGCACGTCGGCGCGGCTGCTTTACGAATACGGTGTAAGTACTCGTTAAAGCAGCCGTGGCCGGACATCACTTGGGTGAGACGATAAGTCATCTCACCGTGAGTCCGGTCCACCCACCTGTCCAGCCGATCGGGTCCTATGAGGGACCTGGTCCACTCGCCTCTCGTTTCCTCCGAGAGGCGAGTCCGCCACCGGAACATGGTCATCCGCCTGAGCGCCAGCCGGTCCTCGGGTTCGAGGGACCGGTTTCGCTCTCGGCGGAGCTCATGCCCGGCGGCGCGTTCCTCGGCGGGCGGCAATGACGACAGGATACCCGCCGCCACTCCGGACACCGTTCGGTAAGCCGAAACTGTCCGGATCGCCGCCCGCCTTTGCACCCTGAGCAGGGCTTCACGGTTTTTGGACGAATACTCTAGAGTATCCGCTCAAACCGGGGACCCGTACAGGAGAACCGAGTGTACGACGCTGACTAAAAGTCTACGCCGCATCTCTCTCGGCCCTCC